TCTGTGTGTGTGTGTCTGTCTGTTTGTTTGTGTGTCTGTGTGTGTGTGTGTGTCTGTCTGTCTGTCTGTCTGTGTGTGTGTGTCTGTCTGTTTGTTTGTGTGTCTGTGTGTGTGTGTGTGTCTGTCTGTCTGTCTGTCTGTGTGTGTGTGTCTGTCTGTTTGTTTGTGTGTCTGTGTGTGTGTGTGTGTCTGTCTGTCTGTCTGTCTGTGTGTGTGTGTGTCTGTCTGTTTGTGTGTGTGTGTGTGTGTGTGTACTCGTACATGCTGCTGTCTGGGTTCTGAGTCAGAGCTTCGTAGGCTTCACTGTTGTGACCCAGGTCCAGATGATGTTTGAAGATCCGAGTCCACAGAGCCGCCTGAAGAAACATGTAATGATTAAACTGAGCCACCTGAACTCAAACCTGACCTCACCTGCCACCTGAACTCAAACCTGACCTCACCTGAACTCATACCTGACCTCACCTGCCACCTGAACTCAAACCTGACCTCACCTGAACTCATACCTGACCTCACCTGTCACCTGAACTCATACCTGACCTCACCTGAACTCATATCTGACCTCACCTGCCACCTGAACTCATATCTGACCTCACCTGCCATCTGAACTCAAACATGACATCACCTGTCGCCAGACTGTCACCTTGCAGTTACCTGACTGCTGACATCACTGACAGCCTCTGTTATGGCCAGAGAGGCCAACTGGATGACCAGCTCAGGTAGACCCACGTCCTCCAGCAGCCGCAGCACCTGTCTCACACACACACAAAGTTTATGATTTGTTATCAGACACAGCAAAAGATCAGAAGACCAGAACCCAGAGGGAGAACCTGGAACCAGGTCCGGTCTAGGGTCCTGTGAGGGATCAGGTCTTGAGCACCTTGTTGTAGTACTGTAATCTGGGGGTGGAGGCAGCTTCTTCCTCCTCGGTGCCCGTCAGTCTCATCAGAAACTCCTCCTTCTCCACCTCCATTGCCGCCTCCTGGAAACACTGCAGAGCCTGAAGGGGAAACAGCAACAGGTGGAATGAAGGAGGTGGGGCAACAGTACATGTAAACACATCATCAGAGTCAGTCAGGTTGTCGACACCCACCTTCTGGCCCTCCCCGTTGGCCAGGTAACACTGACCCAGCATGAAGCGACAGGAGCCGATGTTCACCTGACACCACGGACCAATCAGCCTCACATACTCCTGAACACACAGGAAACACAGGTGAGACACACCTGAGATGCTCACACTACTGAAGCAGCACTGCACACACACAGTACAGGTGAGAGTACAGGTGAGAGTACAGGTGAGAGAACAGGTGAGAGAACAGGTGAGAGAACAGGTGAGAGAACAGGTGAGAGAACAGGTGAGAGAACAGGTGAGAGAACAGGTGAGAGAACAGATGAGAGAACAGGTGAGAGAACAGATGAGAGAACAGGTGAGAGAACAGGTGAGAGAACAGGTGAGAGAACAGGTGAGAGAACAGGTGAGAGAACAGGTGAGAGTACAGGTGAGAGAACAGGTGAGAGAACAGGTGAGAGAACAGGTGAGAGAACAGGTGAGAGAACAGGTGAGAGTACAGGTGAGAGAACAGGTGAGAGAACAGGTGAGAGAACAGGTGAGAGAACAGGTGAGTCTTACCTGCAGCTGAGTGTACTGACAATTGGCCATCAGACACTCTGGGAACTGGAAACCAGGGTTACTGGGCCAACTGGGAGACACCAGTTAAGAAGAACAGACAGATACGCACAGGTGAAGACAGGAAATCATCAGTTTAATGTTTCTATGGAGACCAGCTGTGGATCCAGGTGAAGGATACAGCAGCTGAGCGAGCAGGTGGACCACGTTGGAGATCATGTGGGTCCAGAGGAGCAGGGAGGGGGAGGGGCTCTGCTGCTGACTGTAGATCTGAGAGATGATGATCCTCCTGGCTACAGTCTGATAGAAGAGCTCCACCACTGTCTGAGGACTGAGCACTACACACACACACACACACACACACACACACACACACACACACACACACAACATACCTGACTGTTAAAATAAAAAAATAAATAAAATAATAATGTGACGGGCAGTGTCTTAGCAGCGCTCTGACAGCTCAGGTGAGTCAGGTGCATCACTGACCTGATCTGTTGGTGGAGACAGCAGGAGCGTCAGACAGCTCCAACACTGTGAGGTGCTGCAGGTTGGCGTCTCTGAAACAACACAGGAGTTCAAAGGTCACAGGTGTGTTGTATTTCAGCAATTCAAGAGGATAGACTGGGAATTGACTTATTGCATAGAAACCTCACATAGAACAGTTAGATATTTAATTTATTAGTTTAATTGATATAATTTATTTTCCTCAGGTGTGTCTGTGAAGAGAGTTCTGCTGGTCACTACTCAGGACTGAATGTGGGCTGTACTTTATGACTCTTATCTAGAGGGACAGAGGAAGGGAGGTTTGTGTGTGTGTTTGTGTGTGTGTTTGTGTGTGTGTGTGTGTGTGTGTGTGTGTGTGTGTGTGTGTGTGTGTGTTCATACATGGCACAGAAAGGCCAAGATTCACATCTTAGTGATGATCAGTCCTTTTGATGTTACTTTTCTATATAAGAAACAATCAAATATCATTAGACAGAGTCTTATTGTCACAAAGTGGAGATTTTTTCTATGCTCTCCAGTTTGCCCGGTGTGTATCCGTCGATCCTCTGGAGCTGACCCTTTGACCTTTGAGCATCTCTCTGACAAGCTAACAGCTCGTCTGTTTGAGAGAGAGAAGGGTCCTTTGTCTCCGTTACCTATCAATTTGATAGTTTGATGATGGGAAGAGTAACAAAGTGTCAATTCTGGATCCATAACTGCACCTCCTAACAATGAGCTTCTTTAATGGCTTGTGACTGATGCCAGACCAGGTATGTGCGCTACAGGTGCATGTGTCAATGTTTCTGACTGAACTCTGATTCACTTTCAATACAATCTTTTATACTTTTATTTTCTTTAGATACTCATATACTGTAACAGACTACAGTCGTGTCAATAAAGCTTCTTACTCCACTGTGCTCTGACAGAGTCCAGGTCCAGATCAGACACAGACTGGAATCACCTGTCCAGCACTCATCAGCTTCATATAATGACCTGTGTGTGTGTGCATGTACTCACATGATGTCCATGGGGACGGAGGAGGCGAGGCTCTGACTGACGTGTTTGAGGAGGTGGTATGAGGACAGGAGGTGGGAGCTCCGAGGAATCAGGTCCTGCTGGAGCTGCAGCAGCTGAGCCCCCCCACCCAGAAACACCTGCACACACAAACACACAGGGCTGATTTCAGATCAGTCACTTAAACATTGACAGATGACAGAGTCCTGGTCCTGATCATGTGAGGTCAAGATCTAGACCTGCCTAAGGCTTCAGCTGGAGGAGATGTCAGTGTGTGGACACTTTGTTAGACCTGAGCTCGGATTAAGAAGTTGAAAATGGATAAAAGACAGAGTCCAGACGTCCCTCCTGGAGGATCCCGAGCCGTTCACATGAGATCTCTCCAGTGTGTTCTGGACCCTGGAGTCTCCAACCAGTTGGACGAGCCCAGCAGAAGTCCACTGGAAGGTGCACATCCTGATCAGAGACCTGAACCACCTCGACTGGATGTCAGAGCTCCTCCCCCCCCGTCTCAGAGTCTGTATCCTCATTGTTTCATCTCTACAGAGCTCAGGACCAGGTGAGGGTCGGACCACAGATCGACTGTTAGTCTCACCTCCTATTCGGCAGCTGTCTTCACCTGTCCTCCTTCCGCTGACAGACAGGCGGTGAGGACAGGCGGGAACAGGTAGATGCAGAGGACGAGCAGAACAATGTCATTCCTTGAGTTTTGGAGGAGTCAGAAGGAGAGAGAACTTCTGCAGAGAGCCAATCAGCTGAGACTTCACACCTGTAAGTCTGATCCTACAGTGTGTGTGTGTGTGTGTGTGTGTGTCTGCGTGCCACCGTACGTTGTCTCCAAAGCGCAGGTAGAGTTTCTGCAGGATGAGCAGGTCTCGACAGAACAGCGCTCTGGTCATGGCGAGGTGAGCGACGGCCTGACAGACGACGGACACGGCGGAGCTGCTGCCATACAGCTGAGACAGGCTGATCCTCACGTTCAGACTCTGACCTGTGAGGCCGGGATCAGGGGTCAGTGAACACACCACACTGAGATCAGGACTGTTGTTGTTTACATGCAGAACCACAGTCGTACCAGAAGAGACGGGTCCTTCTGCTGAGACCTCCGAGTCCGTCTCCAGGTCCAGTTCCCTCAGCAGGACCATCATGGCCGCCAGCGGGTTTCGGATGTCCTGTAACTTGTTCTGGATGTCCTCGATGACGTTCTCACTGCAGAACACAGTCAGCAGGGTTACGGTCATAACCCTAACCCATTGACTGTGGTCATTATCATTAATCAATAATGTCATAAATAAATACATTCTACCAACTGGTTCATTCACTTTTTATTTCATCAGCTTAAAATCAGATGAAACCCTGAAGAGACTGATGGATTAACTTCTTCTGATTATATTGAACAGATTCCTGAATCAGGTTCATTATGACTCATTATTATAACATTATTACAATTATTAGATTCTAATGTCAGATAATAACTGAACACATTACATATTAATATGATAACAGTCAATTAATAAACAGAGTTAATAATGAGTTAATGGTAAACAGGTATCTGACTTGTCATTGGACAGCAAGTTCTCCAAGACCAGATCAGCTGATCTCTCTGGAGACTCCAGATGTTCCACAGCTGTCTCCATCTGATACGACATCTCCCCAGAAACAGCATCACTGACCAGACGCAGACACTGGACCAGCTGCAGCACATCACGACCCAGATCCACATCTGAGACCAGCGCAGGTCAGAGTACACACACACACACACACACACACACACACACACACACACACACACACACAGTAGTTGTGTAGTTTTTAACTTGAATATCAGAAACAGCTTCTGACTAATGAAAAGTTCAATCAACTGTTTTCTTATCAAGTCTTGGACATCAGGTCTGGGACACACATGAGGTCTGGGTCAGGGACACACTTCAGGTCTGGGTCAGGGACACACATGAGGTCTGGGTCAGGGACACACATGAGGTCTGGGTCGGGGACACACATGAGGTCTGGGTCGGGGACACACATGAGGTCTGGGTCGGGGACACACATGAGGTCTGGGTCGGGGACACACTTCAGGTCTGGGTCAGGGACACACATGAGGTCTGGGTCAGGGACACACATGAGGTCTGGGTCGGGGACACACATGAGGTCTGGGTCGGGGACACACATGAGGTCTGGGTCGGGGACACACTTCAGGTCTGGGTCAGGGACACACATGAGGTCTGGGTCGGGGACACACTTCAGGTCTGGTTACCTTCAGTGATGGGCGTCTCCTCCTCTGACAGCAGATACTCGTCATAGGACAGATACAGATGATCCACAGCAAAACACGGTAGGAGGAAGGAGACCAGACCCTGAAACCAGACCAGAGAGCGGATCACAACCAGAGAGCGGATCACACACAGACAGAACCAGTGGAGACCTAGTGCCGGTCCTGGTCCTCACCTTCTTCAGCAGACAGACCAGACCTGTGTGGGGACTGACGCTCAGACCCAGAGAAGTGGACAGAGACTCCTGGTACTGAAGACAGCAGGAGTAGAACCTGGACCAGAACTCCACCTGCAGCTGACGGTACTCTTCCTGAGAGAACTCGAACTCTGTCACACTGCTCTGCAGCTGGGGGGGGGGGGGGGGGGGGGGGGGGGGGGTCAGATACAGGAACTCTGGGACTTCAGCTGATCACATTCTAATAATCATTAAAAACAGACATGACTGATTACCTCACTCTCCACAGCAACCGTCACCTCCTTCTTCAGAGTTTCCCATGATGCATCAGGGATCCTCTCTGAACCGCGTCGATAGATCTGAAACACAAGACACACGTCTGCTGCGTCATGTGACCTGGTGGAGGCTGACCCACCAACATCACTCACAATGATGGTGACCACACCCACAATCAGTGACATCACTACTCTACATAACACAGGTGTGTGTGTGTGTTCAGGTGAATCTCACCTGTAGAGCTTTCACTATGGCCGAGGCCGTGAAGCGTAGAGGAGAGAAGAGAACCTCCAGGTACGTCTCCTGTGAACACAACAGTCTCCAGGTGAGTGACGGCCATGATGAAACCACACCACCTGTAATGACCTCATCAGCTGGATCAACATATGGTCATCACACATCAACCATGAACCTCGGCAACGTTCATAGTGTAAATAAAGCTTTAATGAGAGTCGCCATGACAACCACTAAACATCATTTGGTAAGTGGTCTGGTCTAATTTCTGGCCTGGTACTGGTTTGATGTGGGTGTGGGACTGGTCTTACTCGGGGGTCCTGGTCCACTCCTATATGGACTTCTTCCTCTGGTGGAGGCTGAACAAACACCTGGTTCCACTGACCTGCTGTGTTACTGTAAAACACACACACACACACACACACACACCATCTTTAAGTGTGAGTGACAGATGTAACAGTGTGAGACTCAGTAAACACATCACAGCGGGGCGGGGGGGGGTGTTGGGACGGGGACTCACTGTTCAAAGTTGATGTACTTGATCACAGTGGTGTTCGAGTCGTCGACCCACAGAGCCCAGATATCTGTGGAGGTCAGGTGGAAATCCACCAGAGTCTCCTGTTCACACAGAGACATGACAGTTTAGCTCTCCATTACATATTATATTTTTATTCCATCAAACAGGCGAGACGTTCCTCACTACGTCTTTAAATCATCTTCTTCATTTCATGTTAAAACAATGTTTCCTTTAAACATTTTAATGCAACACAATATATTATATGACAACAAGACAAACACAAACACATCAATGTGGTAAATCTCATGAACTCTAATCAATCTTTTTCATTATAAAACATGAATATTTTCATTGTTTCTTCAAAAACAATAAAAACAAACATCAGTGACGTTTTGAGCAGCAGGTTTGAAACATGTTTCACAGTTTCAGTCTCTTCACTGTGTGAGTGTCGACTCATCAACAACCACACACTGAAAACACATCTTTAGAGAAGCCTGAGCATTTAAAACCCTCTTCACACTCCGATCAGCTGCTTCCTGTTTCCTGAGTCCACCTGCATACACACCTGAGTGTACAAGGCCCCACAGTTCACCTCAGGTCAGGACAAACACCAGGAAGTCTAATGAACTCCAAACTGAGTCACCAGGTAAGAAGGACCTGGGTTAGGGAGGAGACCAAGAACCAGAGGCCCCCCCCCATCAATCAGGTGTTTATGGTAGAGACCAGCCTGCTGGACTCTGAGACTCTGAGAGCAGAAGGAACTAGAGTCTCTGGTGTCAGACTAAACCTGAACCAGACTGACTCCATGACAAAACCGGTGGAGACTTACCTGTGTGGTGAACAGGGTGGAGATGTGTTCCAGGCTGTAGCGGTTGTTGTCGGTGGAGGTGAGCTGTAGCACGGTGAACTGTCCTCTCTGAGGGACGGCCAGGTAGAGGGACAGACAGAGGCCGGTGGAGGACGAGAAGGCGAGCCGGAGACGGTGACCCTGACCCGACAGACGCTTCACTCCTTTACAGGCCGGCATGTAGTCCAACACGTCGGCCTCCAGCTGACAAGCCTGCTCCTGCACATGGAACACACAGGTTAGCTAATGATGCTAACAGCTCTTTCAGAGAGAGAGTAGTCGGTACACTGCCCACAGTAGAGTCTGGTTAGGGAAGCCGACCAGAGCTGTAACTGATGTGTTTGACACTTTTAAAAACGCCCACCAAAACAATCCAACATCTTTTCCTTTCCTTTGGCACTATATTGTTCAACCGCTGAACTACCTTATTCCTACGCACAAGTGCATTTACGCAGCACACTGTATTACGTCGCAGCCGCAGGTCAGCTGAATGAATCAGGAAGCGGTGTAACACAGAGCGCTCTGTAGGGGCTGGAGGAATACGGTAGTTCAGCGGTTGAAAAGTATTGTGCCAAAGGAAAGTGCTGTTGTCACAGGAAGTTAAAGACTGAAAATGTTCTACATGAAGTTACATTTAAACAGATGTTGGATTGTTCGTTTTTAAAAGTCTCTAAAACACGTTTTTTCTCGTGGCCCCGCCCACACCAACACCTCACTCTGCCAGAGCACCGGTCGGCTTCCCGAACCAGAATCTACCGTAGGTGATGTACCGACTACATAAAAACACAAACTGTCCCTTTCAGTTCTCCTTCACCTGTGACCAAAGTTACATTTAGATTCTGGAGGGCTGAATTAAAGTCACATGGCCTGAGCCTGAATGTGAGTCTCTGTATGAACATAAAGACCAGGTCCTGACCCTGAGGGACCACATGCGCAGTCTGTGGTCCTGGCAGAGGGCGAAGATGAAGGAGTCTTCCTCCAGCTCTCTGACGGCCAGACTGAGGGCCAGGTCTGGAGGACTCTGCTCCCCACGGATGGCGGTGGGCATCCAGCCCGACAGCCTCTGCATCATGGAGCTCCTCTTCAGCTCCAGCACCGACACGCCGCCTGCAGGAGGAGGACACGTACAACACACACACGTATGATCAGAGAGGAGACTCCAGCTGTTTCTGTTAGAACGACTCCACAGTAGCTGCAGTGAGGTCACAATCACTTTCATCACCAACTCATCTAATGATCATTTTGTCCAGTAATTGATCTGTTAAATATCTGATCACCAGTCTAATAAATGAAGCAGCAGCTGTTTGAATGACGTGAAACCAGTTAATGATCCAGTTCACTTCTGTGTCATGTCACAATCTAAACAGAAAAATGATCACAACAGTAATCAGCAGATAATCAATGAAAATAAACTGAATTCACATCCACACAACTCAACAATGAACCACAACACTGATCTGAAGTTAATGAGGCTTCAACTACTTCCTTCAGAGACTGTGCCACCCTCTGGATCTGGATCTGTGTGCTGAGGTCTCACTTTGGTTTCAGGTGAACCTCAGAGGACTCACATGGACCCTCCCCTCCTGTGAGCAGGAGGGAGATTCAGGTAGAGGTTCAGGTGTGTGAAGCAGCAGGGAAGACTGTGGTCTTTACCCTGAGAGTCGTGGGGCGGCAGAGTGACCACAATGATGCCTCCTGCAGGTGAAGCCAGGGCGTAGTGAGCCTCCCCCTGGTAACTGAGCCAGGCTGCAGAGGTGCTGGGACTCCCCGTATGTCCCACCTGGCTTGGGATGACGGCACTGTGAGACGGGTCCTGCAGACTCAGCTTCCCCACATCAGTGAAGACGGACTGCATGTGGAGCTCGGTCACCAGCTCCTGGAAAGGAACCAGAGAGAAGGACTTTTATCTTGAAAAGAAATAAGTTACAACTTCCTAACAGTCTATTGGAACTGCTACTGTGTTCAAAGTCATGTTTCGAAAAACTAGAGACCTCCTGAGGAGGTCCACAGGTTCAGGTTCAGGTTCAGGTTCAGGATCAGGATCAGGATCAGAACCTGAGGAGGTCAGGTTCAGGTTCAGCTGAATCCACGTCACTGCTCTTCTGCAATTGGTCGGTTCAGCTACAGTGAAACATTCGTTGTGTGTGATGGTGAGTAACTCTCAGGTTCACTGACCTCTGACCTAATTAATGGTCATTCAGTAACTACTGGTCTAAATCAAACTTGTCAAAGATAGTTTGTGAGGGAAGAAGCTCCACTCTGTGCAGCGGTTCCAAACTTTTTCAGACTTGTGTCTCACTTGAAAATCTCTAAAATGTTGGTGGCCCACATGTTAACAACACAAGTACACAATGTGGTCCAGACAGTGACGACCTCAGAGTTCCTGTCATTGACTTGTCAGTGATGGGCCTTAATATTAACAGTTATTAAAACAGACTTTTAATCATTTTAAATCTGTTGAAGATCATTTAGTTTAAGACATTTACAAAACATTATTTATATTTTCATTTTTTTTTTAATTACATTTTTTCACCAAGTGTTGACACACTTCCAATACCTTCATGGCCCAGCAGTGGGCCACGGCCCACAGGTTGGGAACCACTGCTCTAAACAAAAACAGCTGCGTTATTAACTGTCAGACACAGACTCTGTTTTCATTCAACTAGATGAACCAGGTGAGACACTGACGAGGTCGCAGCTGAACTCTGACTTCATTAGACTGAATTAAGGCTAGAATAAAAACTGACTCTTCTGCTTTCATCTGACCAACAGTCAAAAGTCTTCAGGTTAGAATCAGATCACACCTGAGAACCAGTTATTGATTATCAGCTGTCAATCGACTAATCAATGAACGACTGTCAGCTGCAGCTGAGATCAAAGCACACACTCATCATGGAGATGATCCAGGTCAGTGGTCTGTGAACGCTCAGTACTCACGCTGCGGTACATGCGTGTGGGGTGGGGCAGCACCAGCCTGTGGACGCTCTGATTGGTGGAGATGAGGATGATGACATTGTTGAGGGTCTCCTGGATGCTGACCCCCCCGGGCAGAACAGTACAGTGGGTGAACCTGAGTTTGACGGCATTGTTGAGCAGATTGGTGTCCAGAGACTGCTCCACCAGCTGGACCGTGTCTCCTGACGTGGACCTGCAGAGTCAGAGAGTCGGGGTCAGAGTTCAGTCACTGGTCTGTGTGTGAAGATATGAAGCTTCAAGAGCAGACTTCAGCTCTCGTCATGAATCACACACACAGAGTCTCTGGAGGAGCTGACATCATTAGAAATGTTAGGATTAACATAATTATAACATAAGTATAATTCATTTAACAGTCAGTGACTATAGTATGGACCACACGGACTGTCCAGACCGATACTGCGGACCCCTTCAGCTGAGGGACTCTCTGTCCTCAGTCTTCAGTGAATGAACAGCTGCTCAGGTGTGTTACGGTCAGGTGACCTGAGAGGGTCTGGTTGGTTTCACACTATGTTGTGGGTCAGTTTCCAACATGTCACTGATTGATGTTACATCAGTGTTCTTAATGTGTTTATGTTCATTTTCTATCTTTTCATGGGGAGCACTTGGTGCAGGTCATTTCTGTGCTGTAAAGCACTAGTGATGGTTCCTGTGACACCTAAGCTCCATGGCGTGTGACAAAAAAATGAATCTATTTTTTACTTTGTATCGAGGCGTGATTTGGTCGTGATTCGTTCTAATAATGTCACGTGACCAATGACATCCAAAGCTTTGTTTCACACACCCACGTGACCGCTTCGAACTGCGATTCAAAGGTTTAAAAATGTTTGCAATGCGGCGCACCTCCGTGGGTTGTGGCGGTGGATTGGGGACTGCAGTATTACAGATCTGTGTGCGTGTAGCTCATGTGTGAGTACTCCAGTAGCTCACCTGGTAGAGCACACGCTATTTGATTTTGAGCCTTCTGGCAGCGGCCTGGGTTCAGGACCGACCCATGGTCCATTGCTACATGTCTTCTCTTCTCTGTCTCCCTTTCTTTTTACCCCGTCAATTCATGAATGTCACTTTTACACATGGGAAATTGTCCAAATGTACAATGCAACATGTTCTTTGTTGTTTTTCTGTTATTTGGAGAATGTGGTTGAGCTCTGATTTAAAAAACTTCCAGTAATGAATCATTTTTCAATACAACTGTGTTGAAATCTTCACTTCGCCATCACTAGCACTTTGTGCTACAATTCTTGTATGAAAGGTGCTATACAAATAAAGTTTATTATTATTATTGTTATTATTATTATCTGGACTGTGAAGCAGATCATTTAACTCAGAGTTCATCCTGCTTCTTCTCTCAGCACTGACATCAGTTAACACCAGTGATCCACAGATGACGCCTCCACCATGTTTGACAGCTGATGTGGTCTGATGTGGTTTGATCTGGATCATCTGTCCAAACAATCTTGTTCTAGAACTGAGAGGGCTTTTAAAGATGTTTTCTGGTCTTTCAGCTCCTCCGTGTTACCAGAGCCAACACCTTGTGGTAGACCCTCTGACTGACTGTGAACTCTGTCCCTGTCCAGATGTTGGGGAGAGGTTTGTCGTCCACTTTGGTCGGTGCTGCTGAGCTCACTCATCCTTCTTTTTAAAACTGTACAAACTGTGGATTTGTCCACTCCTTATCTTTCTGATGAGCGTTTGTGTTTCTCCAGTGTACTTTACTGTGTTTTACCACACTGTATGAAGGTAAATGTAAGTATCAGTATTAAAGGGCTGGAATCAGGGTCGTCCCTCTGTGTCTGTACGTTTTAAATCACATGTGAGGACAGTGCAGACACTTCAGACTGAAAACAGATACAGATAATATGAGACGAATGTAAGCTGGACAGTGCAGAAGATCCTTCAGGGAGGGGGGTGTTTCACCTGATGGTGACATTACTCACCAGTGTATGAATCTGTTACTGGTGACTGACAGCAACTTCCCACTCTCCTCATAGTGAAACGCACCAGCACTGTCCGGGAACTTCTGGCCACCAGGGAGAGCGCTCAGACCTGCAGACAGGAACCAGAGGGAGTCAGTGAACAGATCCAGACACCACTTCAGGGGCTGGTCTCACAAACACAGACTTTCACTGTATCACATAGAACGAGTCTGAACTCATCTTCTGCACAAAGCATTTTAGTTTGTGACTATCTTAAACTGGACTGTGACAACAGTTACAAGTCGTTTTACTTTGGAAATTCAATGGAGTGAAACAACAAAAACGGCTGCCGTCTCAAAGACTCTTCCCTTCTCTCTGCTCTCTCCATAACGATGCAAGGAAACCACAAATGATGAGCCATGTTTCCTTATTTCTCCTTGTTGGGTGCTGCTGGTCAGTGCAGGTGTCACTGATGGTTACCATAGTAACACTGATCTTAGACCTGATATAGTCTGAATGTAGTTTTGTCAGCATGTTTTGTTAGTCAGACTGTTTTACTTAAATTAGTGATTCATTTTAAGATAAAAAAAAATTAGACACCTTAGCCCCACACCAACTTAATTGTTTCACTCTTTGTTAAATTTTCAAAGTAAAACATCTTGTTATATATTATATTTTGAAAATAAATGTCTTAATTTATTCATAATTAATTTTACCTTAAGGTAGTGAAGAACTAAACTGCTGTGATCAACAGATGAATTCAGACTCAGTCTATCTGCAGTCTGTTTATTTTATCTACTACACGGTGACAGTGCGTCTGTGTGAGACCAGATCCTTTCAGGATCGATCACGTCTGTCGTCTCTGTTCTGAAGTTAAACTGTTAGCGTGTGACTTCATGTCACAGTTTACCGCTTCACAGGTGAGCCAAATGCTCCATGTTACCGGCTAGCTAACTAGCTAAAGCTACAGAGAGACAGGACATAGAGGAACAGTTCCCCGTCTGTCACCTGCCCAGGAGCTAACGGCGGCGACTTCAAGGGGTTCAGGTCACGGTGTTTTCAGCACAAACACAACCGTAACACACCAACTGTTATACCGGGCCCCGTTCACTCAGACTGACTGTAACCAGCGTGGTGGCGCTTCTAGCGGTGCTAGCTGTTGTTAGCATGTCCTCCCGTCAAACCCTCGCGTTCAGACCAACGTGTTTTAAAGTAAGAGCGGAGGACGGAGCTGTGAGGGAGTGCGAAGGTTTACCGAGGTCCACGGTCACGTCTCTGAACCGCTGCAGAGTTTCCCTCTCAAATCCACAGATCTCGATGAAGCTGCGCTCCAGCACCGCCGCCATCTTCTCCTCATGCAACTGTGACGTCAGAGGATCAGAAGCCGCGCGCTGAGTGTTCGAATATTTAAAGACAAAGGACACCACTGACAGATCACCACAGACAGGTCACCACAGACTGATCACCACAGACAGGTCACTACAGACTGATCACCACAGACAGGTCACCACAGACAGGACACCACAGACAGGTCACCACAGACTGATCACCACAGACAGGTCACTACAGACTGATCACCACAGACAGGTCACCACAGACTGATCACCACAGACAGGTCACCACAGACAGGTCACTACAGACTGATCACCACAGACAGGTCACCACAGACAGGTCACCACAGACTGATCACCACAGACAGGTCACTACAGACTGATCACCACAGACAGGTCATCACAGACAGGTCACCACAGACTGATCACCACAGACAGGTCACTACAGACTGATCGCCACAGACAGGTCACCACAGACTGATCACCACAGACAGGTCACTACAGACTGATCACCACAGACAGGACACCACAGACAGGTCACCACAGACTGATCACCACAGACAGGTCACCACAGACTGATCACCACAGACAGGTCACCACAGACAGGACACCACAGACAGGTCACCACAGACAGGTCACTACAGACTGATCACCACAGACAGGTCACCACAGACTGATCACCACAGACAGGTCACCACAGACAGGTCACCACAGACTGATCACCACAGACAGGTCACCACAGACAGGTCACCACAGACTGATCACCACAGACAGGACACCACAGACAGGTCACTACAGACTGATCACCACAGACTGGTCACTACAGACATCACCACAGACAGGTCACCACAGACAGGTCACCACAGACAGGTCACCACAGACAGGTCACCACAGACTGATCACCACAGACTGGTCACTACAGACATCACCACAGACAGGTCACCACAGACAGGTCACCACAGACTGGTCACCACAGACATCACCACAGACAGGACACCACAGACAGGTCACCACAGACTGATCACCACAGACAGGTCACTACAGACATCACCACAGACTGGTCACTACAGACATCACCACAGACAGGACACCACAGACAGGTCACCACAGACTGATCACCACAGACAGGTCACTACAGACATCACCACAGACTGCGTCACTACACAGATCACCACAGACAGGTCACCACAGACAGGTCACCACAGACAGGTCACTACAGACTGATCACCACAGACTGGTCACCACAGACTGATCACCACAGACTGGTCACTACAGACATCACCACAGACAGGTCACCACAGACAGGTCACCACAGACAGGTCACTACAGACTGGTCACTACAGACATCACCACAGACTGGTCACCACAGACAAATCTACTCCAGTTTTGTGTTTCTTTTCATTTTGATTCGTTTAGTTTTGTTTCCTTTAATTCTGTTTTGAATTGTTTCAATTTGTTTCAAATAGTTTAGTTTTCAATAGTTTTGTTTGGTTTGATTTTGTTTTGATTAATTTTATTTTGTGTTTTTAATCACATTTCATTCCAAATTGTTTTATTTAATTTCAATTTGTTTTATTTCGAAGAGCTTTTTTGTTTCGAATTGTTTTGTTTCATTTCCAATTGTTTATTTGAACAAGAAACGTCTGATCACGGACAAACAGACGTGGTGTGTCCAGAACAGATTACGAAAGTACATTTACAGTGTGGACGATGAGGGAGGACGAAAAGCATGTTGGGGGAGGATGGACTCCCTCTCCACCATGAAGACTTGGACAGAGGACAGAGTGCACAAACACACCAGAGGCAAAACCAAACACATCATTCACACACACGAAGAAGGAAAGAGCGATGAGGTGGAGGCGAGGGAGGCGAGGGAGTCCAGGGGGACGAAATCCAGATCCACATTCCAACATCTGGAATGAGGCCTCAACATCCAGGAGGGGGTGGGGGGTGGGTAGTGGGGTGGGGGGGGTGGAGTTATGCTGCTTACAGACAGACCTCGACTTGTGTTGGGCTCGCTGCCCGGTCCAGCACACTGTGAAGTCACAGAGGACAGAGCAAAAATGGGTGGAGTTTTCAAAACTTCTAGCGGGACTATGAGCGGGACACATCCACTCTTCTGCGTTCTGTCGCTGAAAGATGTGTCTTTCCTGTGCTCAGAAGAAATCGTTAGCACTAGCCCTGCTAATAAGAAGACCTGTAGGAACATGTACACATAGTGCATACCTACAACAAGCTGCAGACTGTTAAAACCATGGATTGTATATCTTAAAACACACCTTCAGTTTCTCCTCCATTTTCGCTGTGCACCATTTTTCAATTACTGTGCTTCAATGGCTGCGTAGATGGTTGTCACAACGCACCACGGTCAAAGTTCAACCAAGTTGACGGCGCTCGCGCTAGCTCACCGGACGGCACGCTGAGCCAAGCAGAGACAAACCGTCCTGGTGTGGTGCAAGCCATTAGAAACAACGTGTTTCCATGGGGTTGCCATTGCCGCGTTCTGTCTGTAAGCAGCTTTGGAGAGATGCAGAGGATAAAGTGACTAGAATTTTTTGGCTAAAGGTCAAAGTTCAAAGATCAAGGTCACAAACACATGATTTTGTGAATGCAATATCTCCAGAACTCGTCAAGGGAATCCCTTCACATTTGATAAAAACATTCACTTGGACTCAAGTTTTAACAGATCAGGCTGGCAGACGGAGCTAATGCTAAAAATGCTAACTGCTAGTTAGCAAGTCAAGTCAAAACTTCAACAAGGGAAGAAGGAGGAAGGACAGGTCAGACATCTCCACCTGAGCAGGAACCTGCAACACTGACACACTGACACACAGCACTGGAGGCCTGGCAGGGACCAGCACCTGGACCTGGACCACTGGAGGTAAAAGACTTCAACTTCTCCAACCTCCTGCAGGACAGCAGATGTGGCTTGTTCATATGGCATGGACAGTGGTGTGTGTGTGTGTATGTGTTTAACAGATGAATGTTAGCTGTGTTGTAAAGTGTTTTTCACTCAGATGAACAGCTAGCAGACCAAGTCCTCATTTGTCAAACAAAAAACCCCTTTGTTTCTTTTTCTGTGTGTGTGTGTGTGTGTGTGTGTGTGTGTGTGTGTGTGTGTGTGTGTGTGTGGTTATTTAATGTGAGAAACTATAGGGAGAAACTTACATAACAGGAAGTTTGACAGAGATTCTGGGAATCTCTTTGTGTGTGCGTGTGTGTGTGTGTGTGTGTGTGTGCATGTGCATGTGTGTGTGCGTGTGTGTTTGTGTGTGAGTGTGTGTGTGCGTGTGTGTGTGTGTGTGTGTGTGTGTGTGCATGTGCATGTGTGTGTGCGTGTGTGTTTGTGTGTGTGTGTGTGTGTGTGTGTGTGTGTGTGTGTGTGTGTGTGTGTGTGTGTGTGTGTGTGTGCGTGTGTGTGTGTGTGTGTGCATGTGTGTGTGTCTGTGTGTGTGTGTGTGTGTGTGTGCTGGCAGAGAGATAATGCAGTCAGTAGAAGGAGAACAGGACAGACTGGAGCACAGTCAGAGTAGAGACTCAGTTGGAACAACATTACTGTCGACACAACCAGCTGTTACCGTAGCGACGCCCACAGAGCACTGTGACGACCCTGCATGTGTGACTCTGGATCCTAAAGTGAGGATAAAAATTGAGATTGGAGACGAGACACACCAGAAACACTAGCGGACAGAAGACTCAACAACAGACAGAGAGACAGCTGGGAACAGGTAGCTGCAGAGGAAGAGCACTACAATGTCCTTCTTTGAATTTTGGAGGAGTCAGAAGGAGAGAGGAGAACTTCTGCAGAGAGCCAATCAGATGAGACTTCATCCTCCACACCTGTAAGTCTAATTCTACATAGAGAAGCAGGTAAACTCACCTGTAATGGAGGGTTTAGATACAGCCTGGCCATGGGCGCTCAAAAAAACAAAAAAAACATAGTTACGTTGCCCAATCTGATTTCTATTGCTCATTATCATGTCAATGACGTCATGTCACCATGTTGGTTGTCCTGTCTAGTTCTAGTTTGTTGCATTTCTCTCCTCTCTAAGGTGGGGCAGATGGGGAGGGGACGGGGCTGTAGATTGACCACTGGAGCGCAGGAATCTATCACATAATCAGTAGATAGACAGATAGATAGATAGATAGACGGGGGGGGGGCTCCACTCTTCTTTATTCCTGTCAGAAATTATTTTTGCAGAGCTGCTACAAATATTATGCGAATATAAAGTAAACGAGGGGCTAATTATCAAATATCAGCATATTGTCATCCACTGTGCCAAAGTGACATAAATGTGATCAAACTCAATGTTACTCAACGCTCACCCACACATCTGGACCACATGTTAGAGAGAGACTGTGTGTGTGTGTGTGTGTGTGTGTGTGTGTGTGTGTGTGTGAGATCAGAGTAAAAACAGGAGAGTGGATTCTGTTCTGTGAAAATTAACATGCGCCCACTCACACGCAGCTGTGTGTCTAGCTGCTGGACAGAACTACAACACAGGAAGAGAGGGCGGGGTCTACAGCAGGGGCGAGTCTGGACTGTGACCCACCGGGGGCCAAGTCCAGATCCTGAACCTTCAAGAACGTTCTTCTGACTGTGTCTGTGTGTTTTGTATGAGACACATTCAAACTGGTTCATTGTAGAAAGAGTCAAACAGCCAGTGTTAGCAATGAGCTAGTTATTAGCGATGAGCTGGTTGTTGGCGATGAGCTCGTCGTTAGCAATCAGCTGGTCGTTAGCAATAAGTTGGTTGTTAGCGATGAGCTGGTCATTAGCAATAAGTTGGTTGTTAGTGATGAGCTGGTCGTTAGCAATCAGCTGGTCGTTAGCAATAAGTTGGTTGTTAGCGATGAGCTGGTTGTTAGCTATCAGCTAGTTGTTAGCTATCAACTGGTTGTTAGCGATCAGCTAGTTGGTCACAGGAACAACTACAGTAAAAATCAAACTTGACCAGCGCACACTGAAACAAAGCGGTGTGTGAAATACATAAACACAGCTCACATGACCAATGATCACAGTATTCCAACTTTTTTTTCACATTTTTTCAACAGGTAGTGTTTCCGTTTCCTTTTTCCAGTTGCTTTTCTTTTTCCTGTTAGCTAATTGATTAGCTAGCTATTAAATATGAAATGAAGGAAACGCTTTACTTTTCCTGTGACATCACTGCTCCTCTATTTTCCACATCTGTAGTTTCCAAACACTTTTTCAGAAAGCCAGTTAGTTTGTGTAGTTGTTCAGACAAATGTCTCCAATTTTCCATTGTGTTTTATTGTACTGTTATTAGTGCCACGGGTGCTCAGCCCCGAGGCTCCTCTACAGCTACAATAGCTGAGAGGAGCCTCGGGGTAACTCGTCCCGCAGCTTTGAGAAAACCCAAGTAATATATACATTTAAACGTGCGTATTGATCCTGAAAGAGGTGCTATGACTTTTGGTGTTAAAATTCCAATTTTTCCCAAAGTTATTCCCAAAAAACTGGGAATAAATAATGCATTAGGAATGCATTGGAATTTTCTTTAGAAACCCACAAAATTTCACCTTTTTTCTACAAAATTTCACCTTTTTTCTGAGTCACCCAGCTCTCTCATACCTGCACGTAGAAATGTGATTCAAACTATAAAACGGAGGAAAACTTCTGCTCTCTCCAAAACACAGCAACTGTTTTTACATAACATGTAAACTTTTCAAACTATGAGCACTCAAAGGAGGAGTGGAAATCACTTTTTCTTCAAAGTTAGAGTGACAGCGTCAGTTGGCTAGAGTGCGTGAAGCAGTAAAAAATAACCTTTATTTTTATTTTTAACTCGAGCTCACGGCCAAACCGTAAAAAGGAGACAAATAATTCTTTCTGAAAATGTAGACATAGTTGTTGGGATTCATAAAATGTAACTTTGACAGGCAGGGTCTGCACAAAATTTAAACGGGGGTGCCGAGTCCGGCAGCAATACCTGTCTCACTCTCATTGACACCTAATGTAATCGTCTTTTTCTTTCAAAAGAATCTCACTCTGTCTTCGCACTGAGCTTACTCACTCATTTTAAGGAATATCTGAATAAAATAGAGATTGTAGAAACTTCTGGCTTCAGTGTCTGTCACGGTGTTTTCGGTTTTTGAAAAGAAGTAACGGTTTACTCATAATTTGCAGTTGTTTGAAGCCATGTAGAAGCCAAATTCTGGGCAGATTTTCACATTGCCATGGCAACGACAGCTCCTGACCTGACCTCTGACAGCCACGGGCTGCGTGATGTCATCGCTACAGTGACACACAGAAGATTTTTTACCTTAACCCTAACCCTGTCCTGGCAGTCGCCCCCGTGGCACTCAACATTTC